TTTTTTTTTTTTTTATTTAAACAAACTCGTATCTCAAATACATACTTCCGCGTTATTTAACGTATCACACGTAATATAATTATATGTAAAATAAAAAAAAGTTTATCACGAGGATCTGTCCTTCTATTAAATAGAAAATATTAGCCGTTTGTTGTAGAAAAATGACGTCGTGTTTTTTTTTTTTTTATTCGAATAAAAACAAGGTCGACTGAAACGATAGAACAAACTAGTTTTAAACTATATTATCACAAATAAATATCGTAGAATTTTAAACGGTACTATTTTACGATATTTTAATTAATTACATTTAATTTGAAACGTTTAATTCAATCTCTGTTAGAAGAAATATATATATATTATATTCATTACTTTGATTTTTATTATTATAAAAATTATATTAATAAGAAAGGATCGATTGGAAACTAATTTTGTACTTTGTAATTGCATTGGAAAAAAAAAAAACATCGTGTAGAAAAAAAAGTAATTCCGATGCCTCGTTTTAACGGAGAGTTCGATGCCAGGCGTTAACGGAGACTTCGATGCGTGGAAAATGTTCAAGAGACATCAACGCCTGACGTGTAACGAAATATATATATATATATATATATGTGTGTGTGTATATCTAGTACACAATACATATGTAATATTTTTCAATTGACCTCACGTTTTGTTCTACATGTGTTTAGAATTTCTAATTTATATATTACGCGCCGTTATACAATAAAATATATTTCCGAGGTTTATATATATATATATATATATATATAATAATATTTTAAATTATATTAAAAATTATTTAATATTAATTTATAATTATATTATATATAATATTTATATTATAAATTTATATTATATATTATAATTATATTTTATAATAAATATTTATATTGTGTGTATAATATTTTAAATTATATTTATAATATCTATGGGTTTTATAAAATATAAAATAAAATTTATAAAGAGAACAAAAAAAATTTTAAAATAATAATAATTAAAATTATATTATATAATATTTATATTATAAATTTATAACACATAATAATTATATTTTATAATAAATACATTTATTCTTATATTTCATTTATTTAATTATTATTAAAATAATTCTTATCTTTTAAATTTCGCGAATATTTCGCATGACACATTATAAATATGAATTCTCACGTACGAAGTATGTACACATCATCTTCAAATAAAATGAATCGTAGTAGCAGCTAGTAGGTCACCGTGTTCCATCTCTCACGTTCCCTTCCTTTTTCCCGTTTACCTATTATTAATTTATGAATAGGTACATTATTTTTTCGCATAATCCATCCATTAATATTTTCCAGTTTTGCATATTACGTATATCTCTCGTAATGTTATTCATTGTGCTTCGTGCTAACACCCTTTCATGTTAAAGGATCACGAAAAACCGTTGCATTACTCTTTCTTATTGTTATTATTATTATTATTATTATTGTTGTTGTTGTTTTATCATCTAACGGTAGTAAATTCAATGCTAGGAAAGATTTCTCACGGTGGACATCGAGAAAATTCACAAAACTATACCTGTGTATTTTAATGATCTAATTGGTAGTACCGAATGACTTCAATTTTACCATTTAATTAATATGCCATTACTTACTTACTTACCAATGGCATTTACAGGAACAACGGGTACTCTGTATTATCATAATTGCTGATCGTTATTACCATAATTCTTTATCTCACAGGTCAGAATGATTTTACCTTATGAAATGAAAATATTTCTAAACGGTTTACATCCTAACTAGACTGCAACGTAATTTGATCTTAAAACTATTTGCAAAAATATTTAAAACATTTTTTTTTTTATAAGAATTATTATTAAATAGTGTAACATATATTATTATCATTATTTTTAATAGAAAGCTAAAACTATAATCTACATACATATGTGTGACAGTGATAAATGATAAGGGGTTCACAGCCCGCATCTATTTTAACATTTAAATATCATTTCAATATATATATATATGTATATATGTTTATATATTGTACTACATATATATTGTGTAATTATTATTTTTAATTTTATTATTTTTATATATTAATATAATATTGATTATTTAAAATTTATTTTAAATTTATTATTTAATTATAATTATATATAATTATATAATTATATAATTGTGTAATTATATAGTATTGTGTATTATTTATATATTAAATTATATATATATAAAGTTGAATTCAAAGGTCTGTCGTTGAACATTTGATTCCAAAGTTAGAAATGTGATTGACGTGAATACGAAAGAGAATTAAAACATAAAAAGAATGAACATGTAAAATGTAAAATGTAAAATAAAAAGATGAATCAACATCAGCAGAAGAATCAGCATCAGCATCAGCATCAGCAGCAGAAGCAGAAGCAGAAGCATCAGCAGAAGCAAATGCAGAAGCAGAAGCATGAGGAATAACGAAGTCGGCAGAAAGAGGTGGCTACAAACGTTGGTTAGCCGAACGGAAAGAACGAAGATAAAGAACAACGATGCGTGAAGATCTCTTGCTGTCAGTCGGTGGTCAACCGTCCCGTAGGAAGGACGTTGGGTGTGCTTGCGTGCCTTTAAATTACGATTTTTCTACCTTGCATTTGTTGCTTCCTTAGTAACGATAAAAAAAGTTACAAACAACTGCAGAGAAAGAAGTAGAAAAGAATAGTTTAAATAAAAGAAACATTTAATATGAACAAATTTTGTTTAATCTAATCTAATATTTTTGTCATCTTTTGAATTGTGCAATAAATAAATAAATAAATAAATAGATAATAAGAACAATATAATTCCGCGGGTACGGAAAAGTATTTCGAATTTACGAAAGAATTTTGGTGATACAGTTTGATACAAATTTATAAAAAAAGAAGAAGAAGAAGAAGAAGAAGAAGAAGGAGGAGGAGGATAATTAAAAATAATTAATTATGATTATTTAAACAAATATAAAAAATTTACAAGAAGGAAACATCGAATATATAAATAAATAAATAAATAAATAAAAATATTATTCTTTGGGTATAGAAAAGGTGTTTCGCATTTCGAAAGAATTTCGGTGACAGTTTGATCAAAATTAACAAAAAGAAAAAGAAAGATAATTAAACATAATTATATTATTATAAATTAAACAAATTATAACAAATTTACAATAAGAAAAATAAGAAGAAGATAAATAAAAATAATTAATTTTATAATTATTTAAACAAATATAACGCCTACAAATAAAAATCTAATTTAATTCGAAGAACCCATCTGAATATTTTCTTTTAACAAAAACCATTGCAAACTTAAAATAAGAAAAATAATTACTTATGATTATTTAAACAAATATCTCATCTACGAACAAACAAGAATTGAATTCGTTAATTTCAATCGACCCATCGGTTTTTTTCTTTTTTTTTTTTTTTTTTTTTTTTTTTTTAACGTAAATATTGCAATGGCAAAATAATAAAGAAGAAAAAACAAATGAAAAGAATGATCAGTGACCTTGTGCAAAACGAAACTCGCGTAATCGGCCGACTTACGGTTGTTCTACCTTATGTATGGTAGTCCAAGTTTATGTCCGTGGGTTTGAGAGTTCGAGTATTAAAATGAACCGAAGTTAAATCAGAAGAAACTTGTGCCAACAAAAGCAAACCTTTTACCTACATACCTTTGCGAAGATTCCACTCTACTTGTATGTGTGTCGTATATACATACATCGACAAGATTTAAAGAGGACGTACCACAAGTATTCACAAGTGTTAACAAATGAAAATTGAATCATTTAATTGTCACATTATTTTCATTTGTTATAAATAACAAATGAATGAATGTTAGAAAACTCTGATACAATTTGAATATTTTTGAAATTTGTGTTATTCTATTTTAATTTGCAATTTATTTAATGATAAAGTAAATTCGATACTATCATTTAAAAAAAATAAAAAATATATAAAAAATGGCTTCCATGTGTGGTAGCAGTAAAAGTCATCCAGCATTGACTAACAGCAGCTATTACAGGAGTGGTGCTTATCCTTATCAAGTAAGTTTATTTTATATTTCTTTTATTTTGTATAATTCATTTTTGTATTGCAGGATACTTGAAACATTTTGAGATCTTAAACAACTTTTTTTTTGTAAAATAAAATATATTTATATTTATATGTAATATTAGGTTTTTTTTTTAAATCAAAAGTTCATCTGTGATTTTTATTTTTAATTAATTATTAACCTTTGCTTATATACCACCCTTCCTGGAGTAACACACTTACCACATCCGGGTCCTTTGGACCCGAGCGAGAAAAATCGTTATAACAAAGAAACTATTGCATAGATTTACTTCAACATTTTTTTGAGACTTCTTTAATACTTACTTAAAAACACTATATAGGTTTTATAGCTTTAAATTACATTTAAATATGTTTAAAAAATTACCAAAGTTGAGTACAATTGAGAAAAATGATTCAAGTTGCAAAAAAGGTCGTCTGGGTCCTTTGGATCAAGTGTCGTAAGTAACTATCCTAGAAGAGAATCCTAGAAGCTTTCTCGACACCGAAATCATTTATTCGACTGAATTACTTGAATAAAATAAAATAAAAAAAAAAATAAAAAATAAAAAACAAGAAAATAAGTTAATAATTTTATCAACTAGAAAATTCAAATGTAATAAATAAATTTTCAAGTAGGTACATATAGAATTGATTTATTTAATTTTTATAATTGAATAACTTTCAATATTTTTGTACTTTTAATGTAATAAATATCAAATAATTAATATTAAATATTTTACTTTCTATTTGAATGACAGAGAAAATTATTTCATTATTAACAACAAAATAATATTTTTTTTTAATTATATAACATTATTGTAAAAATTACTTCAATTATATTATTCCACAATATTATAGGAAAGAAATTGATTTAATTTTGATAAGTATTCTCACACTTGAAATCGCGTAAACGTGACTACGAAACTCGTTTCTACGAGCAACAAACATTAATAATTTATTATGAGAAACGCGACGTAAATTGTTCACGTGAACGCCTACGTAGTATGTAATATATATATAGAAAAGTATGTACATATATATATACGTTTGTATATATTATATAGTTACATACTTAAATATAAAAGAATCCTTGTGTTTCATTCCCAACGCATTGGTTGGTTAACTTGTTAAAAGTAATTTTTATCGTTAACATCGAATATTCTACAAATTTTGTTTAATATAACAAAACCATTAGTGTAGTCTTTTTATTTTTTTTTAATTTTTAATCCTAACTATATAATTAAATATTAACCTAACAATTTTGATTTTAATAACATTTAATCATTATTACAATTTATTGATATAATACTTTTGATATTATATTAATTAATAAAATGATCCCAACCAACTCATTACAAGAATAATAATAATAGTAATAATAATAAGGTAATATCAAAGATAAAATACACCTGGATAAGATAATGACACATCACGAGGAAGGATACTTGGTCATTTGAATTTATCATGATATTGTATTGAACTGTCATTACTTCAAAACGATTTGAATGAATGATGGTCATCAATAAGCACTCAACTCGAACTCATTGCACGATTCACGTTCTATCATTCAAACACATTTATAAAATAAATATACACAACATATACATTTTAATATATATATACTTTTTTTCTACACCTGTAAAAGTTTTACGTCTTTTAATGAAGATAAAATTACTTTTACAAATTTAATCAGAAATTATTACAAACGTGTTTTTCAATTTAGTTCTTTCAAACTGGTACAACTTGAATTATTTGTATTTTTTTTTTTTTTTTTTTTAAAGTAGTTCAACAAATGTAACATGGTTTTTCTTTGTTTTTTTTATAAATTTTTGGTTGGATATAATCACACGTTTGAATTTTGAATTTTGATCAAGAAAACAATTGGTTATTGGTAATTGATGATTGATTATTGTAACAATTTTGTTATTTGTTGATATGATATTGGTGTTGTTTTAACAAAAAATTGAAATATCAGTTTAACAACGAGAGTGACGAATAACGGTTAACTTCGTTAACCTTCTTTGGAACTCGTTGAACGAATTTCCTCGTTTCTTGACCTCAACAACCATGATACTCGTTTCACTGTATTGGTGGTAATTCAACGAGTTTGTCAACGAAAGTGATGAGAGAAAACAAACGTTTTTTTTTTCTTCAACATTTTGAATCTTATTTATATATAAATATATATATATAATGTTTTTAAGATAATTGAAATAATATGTTTTCATGGAAATGATAGAAACGGAGAAGAATATAATATTATTAAAATAAAGAAGAAAAATAAGAAAAGAAATGTTATTCCTACTCGTGGTAGAAAAAAGTAGTCTATAATTAAATTAACATTTCAAATAGGATTACATATACATAAATATATATAATAACTGACGCTATATATATATATATATATATATATATACATGTATAGATGTGTTAAGAATAATTATATAATAAATACGAGAAATGTTAAAGTAGTTGTAAAATGTTATTCAAATATTTCATTAGTACGAACAATGAGAAATTATCTTAACTAGATTAGATTGTTAATAGAAATGAAATATATTTTTATTTATTTATTTATTCTCGTATTTGAATAATACTATTGTGTCACAACTCTATTAATATTTTATTATAAATATGTGTATTAATATAAAAATAAAATAATACTATAATAATTCAATAAATAAATAGGAATACCAAATAATATTAGTAATTATTTATTATCTAATTTATTTATACTAGTATTTAAATAATACTATAACTTGACTTTTTTAATATATTACATATTAATTATTATAAATACCACCATAAAAAGAAATAATACTTATCCAA